CAAAGACCTCCGCCGACAGAGTAACTTCTCCCGTCCAAATCTCGCTCGCCCCGGTACTTCCAGCTCTCATCTCGACCCACCAACGCAATGGAAAGCCCCTTATATGAACGGCGCTGGAGGTGCCTCCTCCATGGTTGATCTAGGAGCACCGCGCGCACCAGGAATGGGAAATCCGCGGTTTCACTCATCAGACATAATGCTCAACACACGCTTCGGCAATGGTAGTTCTACGAGCCTCGTTGCGCCGGGCGCAATACCTGGCTCACCTACACGTCCCGGCACGGCCATCTCGACAAAGGAGCCTGAGAATCCCTTCAACATTCACTTCGGTAAAGACTCTGTCAGCAGTATACCGCCGACGCCCCAGGACGAACCAAGGGGTAGTGGTCATACGGAACCCTTCGAGTTCAATCTCGGAAACGAGATTAAGGAAATCAGAAACAAAAGCCCTATTCCTACGGCTAACAATGGATATCCATCTCCTCCACCCTCGATCGTCAACGCTGAGCGATCTTTCTCTCCGGACCCGCGCCCTTCGAGCAGTCGCCAGAACGTGCCCGCCGCGCCTAGTCTTCGGAACCCCAGCACTGCAGGACCAATGTCTCTCCCAAGCCCAGCTGTATCGGTTGCTAGAAGCGACGATGTCTGGGAGCCGCAGCCTCCTGTTATTCGCAATGTGACGGCCAAGCGCGACACTTTTACCTTTCATACGCCTAGACGGCAGAGCTTTACCATGGACATGGAGACGCGTGAGAATCACAAGCCAATGGTTGAGGGGCTTGCTGGGAATTTTGCTGGGTTCGACTTTGGTGAGACTGTTAGGAAGGGAAGCATTGGGAGTAAGAGCTTGGATACTTCGACTGAGGGTGGAGTGAGCCCTACGGACACGAATGTGAAGCCCAGGGCGCTGGGAACGGCGAGAACCGCTAGTCCTTTGAGAACCATGCAGTCGAGTCCAAGTCTGAGCATGATTGATACGGCATTGACACGAGCTCGAACTGCGAGCGATGCCATGTCTCCCCTCTCATTGGTATCCTCATTGGCTTCCGCAGCGGCAGAGGAGACGCCGCGTATACAGACCCCTCAGCCTTCTCAGCAGGCAAAGCAGACTCAACAGCCTCCCAAGATTCTCCAGCCCGGCCAGCTCTCGGAGCCTCTTCAATCCATTCGACCTGTCTCGCCCTCACGCTCTCCTCAACCTTCACCTCTTTCTCAACCTCCTCAACAGAACTCTCCAGGACCATCTCCAATTCTCTCCAACTTCCCTGGTCGATCGCCATCTCCGCCAATGCTAGAACCCCATTTCCCTCGATCTCCTCCTCGACCACTCATGCAAACCCTCCAGCCATCTCCTCAGTATCCGACAAAGCAGTACAAGGCCTATCAACCTCCTGATTCTTCTCCACCGACGAAACCACTCCCCTCGCCGTACCGTTCACCTACCGCTCCTCTCCCGCCTGTACCACCACCTCGCTTGAATCCTGGTAACAGGAGTAGGAGTAACACTCCCGATACAGCAGCGAGTGCGAGCCCAGGCTACATGAACCGACCTCTCGAACCTCCGCCTCGTGGCCTCCGTGCCCGAACCGACTCGGAACCACGCCTTGGTCGACCTCTTCGCGTTCCAGCTCCTCTTGTCGATCGCTCGGCTACCATTCCCATGGTTGGACCCGGACCTCGAAGTGCCGTCGGCCCAGGCTTTGATGAGAGCGGCTTCGTCCGTGCTGAGCGTCTTCCCGAACCACCACGAACAGCCAGCCCTTTCTCCCAACAAAGCCCCATGGAAGGCGAGTTCCCCGTTCAAAAGGGTCTTCCTCGAGGTCGCAGGCCTCAACCTCCGGAGATGCAAAGTCCGGAAAGACCCTTTGGCCTGGAGCCAAGAAAACAGCGCCGCCAACCTCCCATGTATCCTCCACCCAGAAGCACAGAGTCACCAGCGGCCGACTCACAACTGGATGAAGTATTGAACCAACCCGGTACACCAAACTGGAACGACTTTGACCGCGCCGAAGCGCACAAGTCCGCCATCCCAGCTGCCCTCTCACCTTTCCGCACACAATTCGCTCGATCACCCACCCAAGCCACAGACGACTCTCTAAGCCCACGTCTCGCACAATACGCTTCATCGCCCATCTCAGACACACCACCAAGTCTACCCTCACCATCCTTCCCATCGCTACAAAAGTCAATCTCCAGCTCGAGTGAAAACCTCGCGCGGACTTTTGACATTATGTCTGATGGGAACTACGAGCGCCATGAGCAGAATCTAGCTCGGCCGCTCATCTCACCTGTGATGGCAGACTTTGTGCCCCCGAGGGACAGAGACCGCAGCAGGACTCGCGTCGAGGCGAAGAGAGCGCCTCCTCGTCCTTCTCCAATCACTGTTCCTCCATCGCTGGCCGCGGGAGCAGAGCCCACGAGGGTCAGAACTCCTAATCCTGTGGTGGATGCGTTCAACCCTGGCTTTATCTAAATGGATTTATATATATCAAAGCGAATCATTTTGATATCTGCAGCTTTTTATATCTCAGCGAGTTGGATTTTCAAAAAAAGAGGCAAAAAGACCCTCATGACTTTTTCTTTTCTTGTTTAGCTGTCGCTTATTCCCCCTTTTTTTTTCTTCTATCACATTTTTCTTGGATATGGCGTCTTTCGCTTATAGATCTATCACATACCCCCGTCCCTCGCTGCGTTCTTTTGAGTTCCGTTTCTTTTCTTTGTATATAGTCATCATCATTATCATCGGGACATGATTAGTGGATAATGTCTAAGGAATACAACATCCAGTGCCTTGAGCCTGGATCTTACATGACTACCTGAAGTGTGCTTAAAGCGTGATTGAGATGCGTTATACTTTTGACAATGAAAACCCAAGACTGGCGCCATTTTTACATTGCTATAGAATACATGTACTAGCCGAGGAACATGCGGAGGTTGTTGCCGATGTACTTGAGATCCAGGAGGAATGTGTCATGGCCAAACATGCTCATCTCCTCGCTCAACTCGACGTGTGTTACGTTCCTGTTTCCAGCTAAACGGACTGCCTCTGCTACCTCGCGCTGTTGCCATGCTGGGAAGAGGATGTCACTTGCGACGCCCATAATCAGCGTAGGGGTATCACGTAGCGGTGCGAGACCGTGGATTAGGTCCTCAGGGGGCCGAGAGCCTGGCACAACTGTCGCATCTGAGGGATCGGGGTGAGATCCGGGCTGTTCCTCATAAGGTTTGTTGGGCAGAGTAAGACTGCATGCGTCCGAAGAAAGGGGTGAAGCCTCTCCTGAAGCAAGATTCTTCTCACGTTCTTGACGACGAGCACGAGTTGCGCGCTGATGCTCGATACCTAGATCGAAAAGATCCATAGCCTTGCTGACATACAACAGACTATTGGGATCATAGTTTAAGCACCACTTCTCACCCGCATGGTCAAGATACGTCTCAATGAGGAAATCAGGACACAGCGCAGGCGGTTTACTCGAGTCTGCCCGACGCCGACCAAAGCGCTGCTCCCACTCCGGTCCAGAGCGATACGTAACCGTCGCAATCTCACGCGCAAGCTTCATACCCGCATGGGGAGGAACTTTTCCATAGTAGAACCCGCGATTCCAGTTTGGATCCATCATGAGGACTTGGCGCTGCGTATGGCGCATGGCGATGCTGTACGGGTGAGAGCGTGCGCAGCCGCTGATGGAGACGATGCGGCCTACGCGCGAAGGGAAGAGAACGCCTGCGGCGAGGGATTGCATTCCGCCCATTGATGAACCGACGGAGGCGTAGAGTTTGTCGATGCCGAGATGGTCGAGAAGACGGAATTGAGCGCGGACCATGTCGTCCATGGTCAATATGGGGAAATGCGTTGCGTAGCGCTCTCCATTGCCTGGGTCGACACTACTCGGTCCCGTAGAACCGTTGCAGCCGCCGATGACATTCGTGCAGATAACGTGGTATTCATTCGTATCAAGCGGTGCCCCCGGCCCAATGAACTTCTCCCACCAGCCAGGCTTTGTATTCGCCTCTGTAGAGTGCGCATGCGACGAAGCGGACAGACCAGTGTGAAGAAGAATAGCGTTCGATTTATCAGCGTTGAGCTCACCCCACGTCTCGTACGCAATGTTGAACTCGGGAAGCACGCCGCCCCAGTCTAGCATGAAAGGTTCTTTGCAGAGATAATTCTGCGTAGCGCCTGACGTGTACGAGGGCTCGGTGTCGTCGTCGGTCAAGCGGGCAGAGCGGGATTCTAGGGCGTCGAGGCATGGGAAGGACATTGCTGGGTTAGATGCGACGCCCGACTTCCGGGGCGCAGCGGAGTGAAGATCTCGGACCCTCGGGGCGAGACATGTTGGGCGGAAGAGTCTGAGGGATGTTTGGAGCTGGCGGGTTGAGCGTACGAGAGATCTTGAGGACCTCATGGTGGGATGTGAGTGTGAGGGAGAGGAATTGTCGTCGCTTGGGAGGTGTTGAGCTTCATGTTTGTAATCGAGGATTCTTAGACGGCGAAATTGATGGAGCTCCGATGCGCGGGGGACGGGATTGGAGGCCGGGTCGGGATGATGCCATTGCACGTGCGATAAGATATGGGGATATGATAAGATAGAAGAGCCCTGTGTAAGAGGGAACTATCGCCAGCTACGACCTATAACTTACAGAGCTTAGAATATAGATAGTTTCTAATGCAATCATTATAAATCTCAAGATCGCCGTCATAAGGCTTAGCTTGGGTTTAAACTCAAACTCATCACAAGTTCAAGTGTAGACAGATCACGCTTTTTCTGTGACCCCTCGAAGCACGTGTACCATCTTCTGACGTCAATTCAACGCCGCAGCTGTAGGTGATAAGCTGCTGCCTCTCTAGAACAAGCCCCAACGCGTCACCTTTCGCCGTGCGTGTATACATTTACAAAAAACCTGTCTTTTCTTACACCAAAAACACTACAAACTTCATTTCTACCCTCCTAAATTTTATGCTGATCTACATTTTCTACTTCATCATCGCCTACCTCATCATGGCGCAGAGCATTCCCCAGAACGTAATCGACGGCCTGCGAACTATGCTATCGCTGGGCAGTTCAAACGACAATGAGACGAGCTCTTCTTCTTCTTCGAGCGACTTGACGCCAGTTGATGTGGTTATTACGAGAATCATGCTCACCAAGGGGAGGAAGCTTCCGCCGGGTGTTGTTGATGTTATCTTCGACTTTGCGGAGTATTGGGCGCATTCGAGTAATGAGGTTGATTACATCGCTGAGCACTCGAGTCCCCTCCGCGTCAACGGCCAGAGTCCCTCTGAGAACAAATTTCTTGTAAGTCGGACCCTCGTTTACCTAAATCACTAGACTGACACGGTATTTATAGCTTCGATCGTTTCCTGTGGGTCTAACAGGCATTCAAGGCAAGAAAGCGCTTGCTGAAGTGTTGGCGTATGACCTGAATGAGGCCAAGCCGGCGCCGTTGAAGACGGAGCATGATGCTTCTTATTTTTCTAAGCTGGCTGATTATCCTACCCCGAAACTACTCCATCCTGTGAGAAAGGTGGTCTTTACGATACGGAGTAAGGATCAAGGGTGGGGTGGTGAGCCGGATAATCGACATACCTACAATGGAGCTTGGACGTGGTTCGAAGCTGGTCTAGAGAAGTTTGACGCCGAACAAACCTGTAAGTCCCAAGACTTCTGTGTAACATGCAATGCTGACTCTCCAGGCGATCCAAACTGCACATACGACGTGCGCTTCAAATCAGCATCCTCCGTCGCATCACCCCTCCCCGTCTGCGCCCTCCGCCCCCTCTACCCCTCGATCGTCCCCAAGGCCACCGCAAGTTTCGCTTCCCCCCCCCCCCCCCCCCCCCA